TTTTATTAATAAAATTATAATTAATATCAAAATTTTAAAATAATTAAATAATAAATTAATTTTTTTAATTAATTAATTTTTATAGTAACTTTAATATTATTTTTTTTACAATTGAATTAATCATTATATAATTTAATTTTTTTTTAATAATAGAAGCAATCATTTTATAATCGGTCCTCATTAGAAGCCGCGTTTTCTGATATGTCTCTCTGAATTCAAAGGCCAAAAACTTTTGGAGCTATCAGTCCTTTCACGCGGACGGGAAGCAAAGACAAAATTCAGAATGAATGGCTCTGACTGAGATGTCTCATTCTGAATTTAGAGCATATTTAGTGTGATTTGTGAGAGTTTTTGTTTTTGGAATATTGTTATAAGTGATAAATTTAAATTTTTATTGAAAAAAAATAAAACTTTAGCTTTTAAAAAGGTGAAAAAATAATGAAAAGTAAGTAAAAAAAGAGTTTATGAAAAATTTAAATTTAAAATTTTTGATCTTTTACTGTTTAAGAGTTTTTTAAAATTAAAAAATATTTAAAAATGTAAAATTTTTTAAAAAAAATTTAAATTTATAAAATATAAATAATATTTAGAAATTAAAGGTCATAGTAGCCACACCAAACAGACCATAAAGGCCAAAGACTTTTGGAATTCTCGGTCTTTCCACGCGGACGGAAAGCAAGACAAAAGGCAAAAGTACTTTTTAAACCTTCAAATTTATTTTAAAATAATATTTAAAATTTTAAATTAAAAATAAAATAGATAAAACTTTTACTTTCACTAATAATATAATTAAGCTCAGAAACCGGATAAACAGTATATCTCATGGTAGATTAACTCTGTTACTTTTTTACAAAATCATAAGTTAAGCTCCTCAATTAACTTCAGAATCATTAATAAGTCTTAATATTTTTAATTAATTTAACATAAATTTTTATATTAAATTTAAATAAAATATAATATAAAATATTATACTGTTTTATTTAAATAACCATAAGTTAAAATTTTATACTAAATTTAAATAAAATATAATATAAAATATAATATAAATTTTTATTAATAATCAATTAATAAAATTAATAATTAGTTAACAATTAATTAATAAAATTAATAAAATATTACATAATAAAAATTATTTTTTTAATTTTAATAAATGAAAACTTAAAAATATTATAATATAAAATAAAAATTTAAAATTTATAAATTTATTAAAATTAAAAATTAAAAATATTGTAATATAAAATGTGAAGTTAAAACTTTTAAGTTAAAAAAGTGAAAGGTTAATGATAAGCTTACCTGAATGAGCTGGCACGAGTAAAAAATTTTTTATGAAATGACACATTGAGAATACCATTTCACTCTGTCGCCAGCAATGGGAGCAGGTGCACATGAAACCTGCCTTTCACCTTGGATTCCAACTCACTCAAATAATGATGGGAAACAGGAGTGCCCTCAAGTCTTTCCCATGAATTGGAATTTTCACTATTGACAAAAGCAAACACATACATCTTGGCCCCAATTGTCATTATAATTTAGCATAGCGTCGTGATTTTTTTCCTTCCATTGTTTCTCTTTCCTCAGATATTTTTCTCTGCCTAGGATTCCTCTCTCTCTTGTCTTTTTTTTTTTTTGGTTTTTCGTCCGATATATTGAGTTTTGTCCCGATTAATCCGTATTGACTCGCGTCGCGTATCTAAAAATGGTGAATGAGTCTCCCAACGAAGGCTGCTACGTACACAAGATCTCGAATTCAAAATCTTACTTAAATTGAAACAAACCACTTACCACTTGATCCAACCCTTCGTTAGTCTCTCTTGCCATTTACTAATGAGCAATGCTAAGGGCACTCGCCCATAAGCACTCTCTTCAACACTAGTTCTTTTCTTGTGGATACATTGCAATATATTTAAATATTTAAACTGGTAACGGACTTTTAAGTGTCAATGCATTTTTTATCGTTTGTTTTAA